ATCTTTTTTACTTGGAAGACCATCATCCTCTTTTGGGTTAAAGACTAGTAAGGGCCATTGCTTTCTTGCTTGAAATACATGACCCGGAATGAATATTCATGGTTGAAGCCGATATATCAGTGTACAGTATCAGAATTAGATTTTTTTCATTTCATTGTGATGGCATTCGGAGTCTGGAGTCCCCCTGCGCCACCATGGACAAGATCGAACCGCATACATACAAAGGCCCAGACAGACGACCAGCCTTCCTTCTTCTTCTCAGCCACTTTTGAGAAGTTGTTTTTTCACAGTTGATAACCACTCATCCCTCTGGTTAACAGAGAAAAATACTATCTATTGAGCATGAACATTGTGTATGTTAAATGAGCGAGGAAAAATAGGTAACAAGCTCCACAGGACTCTAGCCAAGTGTCTAAAATACCACATGGCTATCGCCAACCATCTGTCAATTATATCAACCATGTGAGGTGTGGTGAGACTATCTTGTACCTCTTTGGCGCTGTGCTTTTACTTTTAGCTAATGATCATCAGCAGGAATCACTAATAATGCCGCTGGTGCCATGGACATTAATTTCTAAGGCCATTAAGGCATCTGTAGTTGCTTCAAAGAATTTATTGCTATAGTCTGTGCTCAACCAAAGTGAATAGGAAATGGCCACCTCAGATGGTACCGTTGTTAGAAAATGCACTCAATTCCTATCCTTTTACATTGGGGCATAACCGAATGCGTCGCCTAGCCCTGGATTCATTACGGGGATGATATCATCATGGCCGTTGCTTGAAAGGAGTGAACAACTACTAAGCTTTGTATTCATGCTCTATGCTATATCTATTGGCGATGACGGAAAACGAAATGTAGAGAGTTGTCAAAATTTCTCGACCCTATGTTTAAATAGTTCCCCAAGACTAAGAGCAAGTGGCTCATGTGCGGAAAGAAGATCTGTGGACTTTGTCCTACTTGGCATGTTTGTTTCAAAATGAAAAGCATCACTGAGTCCCAGCAGGTTGTCACCGACCCAGTGGAGGAAGAGCGTATATGAAAAGGAATAGCGAATCTTTTAGCAATCTGCAAATCATTTTTCTTGTGATAAGAGAGGCCGCCATTTCACGCACATCCGACAATGGCTCGCTACAATTCCCATTTTCATTGTCTCTAGAGAATGATGAGAGCCTTTCTATGGTCATGCATGGCCATTTTGCTAATGCAAGTTGCAGCGCCCCGGGATCTACGGCGCATTTCAGTTGTATCAAAATGGACGGGTGAGGCGTGGTAGCACATTTGTGTAGTGAGTATTGTAATACAGCCACAGAGGTCCATGAGGGCATTATGTCATGTGTCGTGTCATAAAGGTCAATACGTAAAGAGTTGTTTGAAAAAGATATGCAATTGGAATAAATATGATAGATAAATATGGTACATCTTCAAGAAAGCCAGGACTCTTAGCCATACACCTCGGTTTTGACACCTCTGCCCCTTATGCGATTGAATTCAAGAATGTCAAGCGCATTACTCTCGTGGACAGCAACCTTTGTCAGGTTGGGCAAGCTGCGAATGAGAATACAGGCACGATGGAACATCTCTGGACCGCTGTGTGCAATACTGACATAGTAGAGCGAGGTGCTGATCGGGGGCAGGTCGGAGGCATCGATAATATTTGTTCCGTACCTGTATGTGCTAGGCACTGCGTCCTCGATTGCAGGCATGTTTTCATCAGGTAAAAGTGTGTAAGGATACTTTCCGGCACTCCAGTGCCTCTTGAACACGATATCCAGCACCCCAAGTCTTGGCAGTTGCTGAATGGCTCTGTGTAAATAAGGGAATTCATCCGCACCCAGGTCGATATTCAGGCACTTGAGACGAAACATCTGATCAACGCCTGTCAACGGGAATGGATTAGCAAACAAGGACACATGCTGCACCATGCTCAGCATATTGTAGAAGCGGGTGATAGCTTCACGTTGGATAAACGCTGGCATATCTGAGTATGGTCGTCCGACAAGAAAGAACGCCTTAATCCTTGAAACGATCCGCGCATCAATATACCGAAGATCGTTCAGGTCCTCGCCCATCTTCAGGATCTCAATTGGAGATTGATGAAAGAGACGATAAATGTCACCGAAGACAGGGATTGAGCCTCCAACAGTCAAAGAGAGCAGCTTCGGAAAGCGCAATACGAACCCGCCGGTTGGGTCGACTTTGGTTTCTAGATGTGGCTGTTCGGCGCAACGCAAGCTAAGCTTCTCTAAGCTGGAAAATACAACTTCGCTGCCGTTCCTGGATCTAAACCAACCCCAGTTTATACCATCTATGATATCGTAGATCGTCATTTTGCGAAGAACCGAGGCATCAAATGAAGGGCTGTCAATGAAGTGACCCAGATACCATGAATTCAGTGTCAGATCCGTAGTCTCATACGCAACGCTAGATAAGGCCTTTGGTGGTAGCGGGTGCAGGCCTTGGACGGCCGTGAGCTGCGTACGATAGTAATGAAAGAGCCAGTAGTACAGCGGATATAGCTTCGTGAATCTGACAGCCAGGCCAGGGCATACCGTATTAATTCCATCCTCAGCATATGCGATAGACCTGATGATCGGGAAAAGCGCGATGAACTGAAAATATGCCATTTGTGCCTCGGGATCCATCTGCGGGTTATAGTTGGGATCGTTTCCAAACGACGCAAAACCGGTACCAACGAATACAAGGGAACGGATGTTTGCCCATCTGAAGTGGTAGCCGTGAAACATATTCAGGATCTCTGTCATCTGAGGTTTGCACAGGCATCCATCATCGAGCTTGATGACAAGGTGACTGACATCCTCGGTCTTGCCCATCCCGATGAGCATATCAATATTTGACCGCCATGCGTACCCATGTCTCCCATCCTTCGTGCAGTCCCCAATAAGCACGCGCTCGACGCAGACATACTTGACGAATGGACTGCTGATAACATGTCGCCATCTGCGGCATACGTGGGCGAGCAACAGAACAGCCGTGAGGCCAAAGCAGTTCTCTGCTTCAGGACGCGTAGTCGGACACACCCACTTGAATATCTCAAAGAGGATGTCGTCCGGGACAAATGACAGCGGTCCCTGGGGGAGCCATTGTGAGAAAAATAAGAGAGGAAAAGCGCGAGTTAAAAGTAGAGCGAAATAGAGGCTAAATAAATAAGGTTTGGTGTTATGTTTTACAGGTTGGAAGAAAGGCCAAGTAAATTAAAAAGGCGCTATGCGGTGAAGCAGGCTGAGGAGGAAAAGGAGAAGACGGAGGAAACCATGTATTTCCGCGACAGGGGAGTGCGAGGGAAGAGAGGCGACTTTTTATACCCTGAGAATCCAGCGGATCTCTCGCTGTTTTTGAGCGCCATCGCCATGCCAGAACAGCATCAGGTGAGGAAATAGTTTTGATACTCCAGACTCAAAGGCAGCGGGTGTTTAGCAACGGCAATTGCACAATTGCGGTCTGGTCACATTGGCAGCATGCTGCCTGCGAGTGCCAGGAATGGACAGGAAACCCGTCAGTTTTGCCCTCACCAACTCGGGGCGGCAGGCAGGTGCATGCATGTGTGTTGTCCCTCCTGCCAGCGCGACAACCGTTGTCGGAGGTTGCCCCGCTTGCTCTGTTTTGTGCAAATCGCAGAGAAATTAATAAACCCCAAGTCCATTTTTCCAGCTGACTTTGTCCAAAGGCTCGTTCGCCAGCACCCTGATTTCCTTGCTGCCCAGTTCAGCCAAGTTGCCGTTCTCCAATGAAAATTCTTGCTGCACCTGTGCAAAGACGTCAGGAGAGACAGTGCGCAGCTTGGCTTATGTCTCTCTCACCCAAGCGCCATGAATAGGCCTCTTTTTATGGCAAGGGTACGTTGAAGGATATGTGCGACTACCCGCCATGAATGTGTCCTACGTCGCACATATTGCATTTTTAAGCACAGAGTAGGTAGGAGAGGCTGACTGTACAGGCGCATCTTGAGAGGTTTTCCTTGTCAGACAGAGGCGTTGTGGCAGCGTGAAGATGGATCCGCGGCTATGGCTGATGTTATCCATTTGCATGTAAGTCGGAGCTGGCCATTTTGAGACGGTGGGCTTGTTTTCTATTCCACAGTGCCGTATGTTGGTCATTGTGAGGGCAGCAATTTACGCACGTCTACTTCCGATGTGCATATGGATGGGGCGTGGTTGCTGCCTGTGGTTGGTGGGTGGGGTTTCTGGATATACCAGCAAGGTTTCCGCTTTCCCATCAGGCTAGCAACATACCAACACACACAAGTGACCACTGTTGCTTGTAAGTGGCCAGGCAATCCTTTTGTCAGTTGCGTTCGTGAACACTGGTCACCTGTTCAATACAACAATTCACGATTCGAGGTAGAGTAGAATAAAGTGCTGAACCAACCCCGGTTCCTTATCTACGGCCATCGCCCTTGGTGCATTCACTTGCATATTTGATTGTCATTGCCCGCGAGCTGTGCGATCAAAAGAGGTGTATCATGCGTACAGTCTGGAGACAGCGATAGCAATGTGTCCAGGATGATACAATCAGTAGGATAGCCTGGGGAATCTAAGACATCAGTGTAGGTTTCTAAAATTTACGTGTGTGGGTACTAATTGTCGTGCAGTCTTTATGATTGTGCTAGTGGTGGCTGGGTATTTACCAGGGATCTGTCCCACTACAGCAGCAACTGGCAAAGTATGTGTGTATGTCATGAATATCCATCCCCACTGATCGGTTGATTTTTTGGGATTTTGTTAGGCTCTCCTGAAAGCCGGTCTTTGGTGGAATAGCGCTATTCACTGGTCAAAGAGGGTGCTGCTCTCACAAATTCATTTGCGCATTTCCCTTTTTATTTTCCCTTAGCTTAAACTTATAGACAATGGGCGACCTGTTCGGCGTGGTAGGCTGGCTATTTCTCCCAAAGTTCGCGTCAGACTGCGTGCTGCAAGGAGCACACTGGGTTCTCGCACGGGTGGCGCCAGGCAAAGTTCCAGCAGCACATTCAGCAGCGTACAATCTGCACCGGCGACTCTCGTATGCAGTTGTTATCATGCTCTACCTTTTCTACACCCTGTATAGCACAGAGAAGAGCCTAGGTACAAATTACTACCAGCTGCTAGGAGTATCGCCATCGGGGGTTTCGAGTGCGCAGCTGAAACGCAATTTCCGCAACCTCTCGCTGGCATTGCACCCGGACAAGAACACTGGCAACGAGATGGAGTTTATTCAGGTCCAGGAGGCATACAGGGTGCTGTCGACACCCACGACTCCAGTTTGTGTATGACCGGGCGGGCGCCAGTGCGCTGGCGTGCCAGACGTGCAAATCGGCCAACGACTACCTGCTTGCAGCAGTGCCTAGGCGGCTGGGCGTATACGGAGCGTTTGTTTTCGGAAACGTCATCCTGCAGGTATTCCGGTTCGGCGTCAATGGCATATACTGGCGGTACCTGGCGATCGGGGCATTTGCGGTGCTGGAGCTGCTGATAATGACGGGCAAGACGACGCCGGTGTTCATTGGTGCCATGCAGTTTGTGGTGCGGCAGCGGACGGGGTTCGAGATTGCGCAGATCCTGCAGCAGGCGATGGTGTGCTTTTTCATAGCGCTGAACCAGATCGGCCCGCAGTTCATGCCGCAAGACGACGTCAGCACATTGGCATTGGCGCGCGAGCTGCTGGGGGCGACCCGCGCGACGCACGCAGAGATGCAGGCCAAGACCAAGCGCCTGGTGGACATGTTCCGCAACACAGGGCACCACAGCAAGCTGACGGGCGAGTTCGAGAAGGAGATGCTGCTGTGCTCGACGCTGGGGTCCAGCTCGCAGTTCCACAAGACGTACGTCGAGCGGCTCAATGCCGAGCGGGCGCAGATTGAGCTTGATAGGTGACCGAGGGATTTGCGGACTTGCTTTTGTATCATGTGGCCACGTGAGCATGCTGGTTTCAACAAACAATTAGAAGCACCTGCGCACACATTTTTCGTCTCTAGCGAGAAACTACTACGAATGGCACAGTTATATCTGCGGCGCGGGCATGACGTGGGAACCGTCAAGCACACAATGCATACCTTGCACGGATAGCGGAGCATTTCCTTGGCAGCCCTTTGTAGTTGGTGCGGCTGTGCGTGGTTTTGCATGCAGTAGAGTGCAATAAGCTGCCACTGCACTGTCTCCCCTGAGCTCACGCGACCACTGCATATAAAAGGGGCTGGTCTGGCAAGCTAGATCTGTCTGCGTATCCTCTCCTCTTCTTCTTCTTCTTTCTACTACATCTAGTCAAACCATTGACTACCAAGCCTTCCTCAATGACAACCTCTGACCCACCAGAACAAGGACGACTGCCCCTGCGAGCACGAGCACGGCGAGCAGACCGAGCCCCTCTACAGCAGCCGCGTGGTGCTGACCACGTATCCGTCGCAGCTGGGCATCGACCCGCTGCCCATGACGTGGGGTGCCAAGACACCGCAAGAGCGCGGGCCCATCGTGGCCTCCCGGCACCCGGACTCCTTTCGGCAAGCGCAACGCAATTGGCGCTGGCGGCGGCTCATACTGCATCTACCACGCGCTGGCGGTGGCCATTGGAGACCTGAAGCCAAACCACCTGCCGGACTTGTCGCTGACCGAGCCGGCGTACAATATCACCCCGCAGGCCACGTGGACGGCCCCCGGCAAGATCGTGTCAATGGATCCCTGGGGCCACGCAGTCGTCGAGCATTTCAGCGAGCAGCTGCAGCAGGGCGTCGATGTGCGCCCGACCATTGCTGTAACCAAAGCGCATATGAAGCTGGCCGAGATTGACGAGGCCATCGGCAAGGGCATTTTGCAGCGCGACGGCGACGTGGTGACCGAGAATGGCGAGCTCAAGGTCGTCAAGGTAGCCTGTCGAACCCGTGTGGTTCCTGCCCGGTGTCGCCGAGCGCTTCGGCATCTCCGAGGCCACACTGCGCCGGGCGCTGTTCGAGGACACCGGCGGCATGTATCCGGAGCTGATCACGCGGCCGGACCTCAAAGGTGTTCCTGCCGCCCATCGGCGGCCTGACCGTGTATATCTTCGGCAACCCCGAGCACATCACCGACCCGGCGAAGCGCCTGACTATGCGCGTCCACGACGAGTGCAATGGCTCAGACGTGTTCGGCTCCGACATCTGCACCTGCAAGCCGTATCTGATCTACGCCATCGAGGAGTGTGCGCGCGAGGCACAGAACGGCGGCGTCGGCGTCGTCGTGTATTTCCGCAAGGAGGGCCGTGCGCTGGGCGAAGTCACAAAGTACCTTGTGTATAATGCCCGCAAGCGCCAGGAGGGCGGCGACACAGCTGCCAATTACTTTAAGCGCACTGAGTTTGTTGCTGGCGTCAAGGATATGCGCTTCCAGGCGCTGATGCCCGATATTCTGCAGTGGCTGGGCGTGACGCGCATCGACCGCTTCATCTCCATGTCCAACATGAAGTATAACGCCATCGTTGGCTCCGGCATCGAGATTGTCGAGCGCGTGTCCATCCCGGACGACCGCATGCCTGGCTGACGCCAAGGTCGAGATCGAGGCCAAGATTGCCGACGGCTACTTCACCACCGGCGCTGTGCCCACCGCCGATGATCCTGCAGGCTGTCAAGGGCCGCAACTGGGACGAAATCGTGCACTAATCATCATTTCATATCTTTTTCATACCTAATTATTCGGCACAAGTTGAAAAACAAAACGAGTATAGCTAAAAATCGAAATGGAAACACGTGTGCCAAGCCGTCGGCTGGCCCAGCTAGCAAGGGCCGCAGAGGGGATTAATTTTGGATACGGCTAATACATGGGATACATCAACGATACCAGCAATGCTGTGTTCAGTACTTTGTGGCAGTCGTGTCGTATGAGGCGTTGCCAACACCCTCACCTTCGGTCGTCTGGCGGTAGTAGTTATGCGCCTGGTCGGGCTCCTGGCGCTTTCTGCGGTGCTCCTTCTTCGACTTGTGCTTCTTGTGGAGCTTGTTTGCGCCCACCAGCAATGCTAGGGCCGCAACACCTGCGAATGGCAATCTTCTTGTTCTACTCACAGTAATTGGACAAGGGGTATGTAGGATTACCTGATCACTATGTCATGCACATATGCGGAATATAGATATCATGTGCCATCAACAGGGGTTGTCAATTTTTTTCACCACTTACATCGTACTCGGGTATGTAGTGCTCGCCGTACTGGGCCGTCCAGGTGGGGGTCGGGCCTCTTGCGGAAAAAATCGGTGAATCCACGGTCGCCATCCTCGTCGGCGTACTCGCCGGTGTACTCGCCAGCAGCAGTATGCTGCTCGGCTGTCTGCCACATTGTCGTACGTGGCTGACTCGCCCTTGTTGTGTGCATCGGCGGGCGGGCCGTACCCGTGGCTGTAGGCCTGGGCAGTTTCCTGGCGTTCTGGTATGAAGACATGGTAGGCTTGGGATCAGTAGGTTTTCGACTAGTGGGTAGAAGAAAAAGATATGGTGTTTGAGGAGAAAAAAGCAGGAGTGGTATTTCAAGGCACCCAAAAAAATTGTGCTGGTTGCCTCTCCTGCTCTTATAGAGCCGGCCAGCACGGGGGGGGTTTCTGCACACGCAAGGTTGTCAACAATCTAGCTTGTCCCACCAAAGTAACGGCAAATCCACACGAAAAAAAACCCACATACCAGCTTGCTGCATCGGCGTTTGGTGAATGCTGGCAAAGTGAAGGAAAATGGCCAGTCGAGGCATAATAGGGTTGACGTGTCTCCCCGGAGAATCCACATGACGTAGCCATGTCATGACAAACCCAAATGTACCCTCTGCCACAGGCTCTTGTCAAGCATGCTGTCTGCCCTCATGCCCGTCCATGGACGATTGGGTGGGAATCGCTGGCCGCACAACCCACACAAAATCATCATGCAGCATGCACCGTGTCCCATGGGTGCTTGCAGCGCGCAATCTCCGTCGCCCTTTTTTTCGCTCTTCAGGACAGCTGAATGCTACCTGGTTGCTGCATCCGTTTTTGGGGGCTGGGCGTGTGATACACGGCACTTTCCGGCGCCAAAACTGCTGCTCTAGCAAGGAAATGTACAGTTGACTGCTGGTTCTGAGGAAATCAGCATTTTTTTCTGCGGCCAGCTGAGCGCCAGCATCTTTGATCAGCTGTCAAAGGATGCAGTGCTGGCGTTTCTGTTTCTCCAGCCAACAAGACGGCAATACTACTCCCCGCTTTTTGACAGGTGCGGAGTGCGTGGAGAGCGCATGAGCGCAGCAGCTGGCGATTGTTGCAGATGCTCCTCCTAGCCTTGTACATTGCCACCCCACTGGTACTGTGTCTGACGCAAAATCCCAATTAAGATGCCACCTGCTGGATTACAGAAATTAGGCAATAGACGCTCGTTTGGATTTTACCATGTCATGACCTCCCTTGGCAAGGTAGGCCGTGCCTGCCAAATCAGCTTTCCACACATGCCCTTCGACAGGAGTCAGCCATCCCAAGCCCAGGTTGCCAAGCATACGAGCCTTGCCATGAAAGCAAAATTACCCTTCCACCTCATCAGAGGACAGCCACACATTCGCATGGCAATGTGCAGCTCCCTAGGACAAAAAATTGTTGATTTAGCTACATTTTTGACATGGTGAAAGTATATGCGTATCACTACAGCCCCCACGAGGACCTGTGAAGCAAGTCGGGCCGAATCTGGCCGAGCAGAGCATTAGCGTAATCTTAACCAAGCTCGTGGCAGTGGAATCATTCATAAAACGAGGTCCCAGGCTCATGGCGAGGATTCATTCATAGTTGAATGCCAATCTTTCGAACTCTATTTCTCGGATTAACAGACATGCTTGTGACAGTCGCCGACTCCTGAACTCTCTTCAGAGAACTGGCTCTTAGTCTTCAAGCCTCTATTAGCTATTTGACAACACACTTTCTTTTTCATTCTCTGTTTGACAATTTACTCAGCATTTGGTAGCATTGTATTTACTACTGGACGTACACTTCCACGACTAACACCATGAAGATGATTATTGAGGCGAAAGACAGGTTGGTTGGCTCTGGCAGCTGGGTTATGACTCTGAATATGTGCTTCGCGATCACCATTTACCTCAGATATCTCATTGGTGAATACACGTTTCACCGGCTGATACGACTGTCGGAGGACATAAGCTACATTCCACAACGGGTCAATATCGGTTTCAATAATATCAACCCGCAGCACATCAAAGAAGATGGTTTGAAAAACAAGAGGCTTCTGCGTTGTCTTCCAGGAATTCTGGCCTTCAAGGCCGAATACTAGGGGAGGAATATCTTTGTGGAATATGCTTACAGCGAGGACAAGGTGACGGCTCTCACCGTTGAATCGACGATAGGATTGGACTTCCTCCTTAAGCACCCATGCATACAGGAGTACCTCGGCATCGTAGCGAATGGCTTGGTCTCAGAATACCTTGATAGAAAGATGCTTTCGACACCGGAGAGTTTATCGAATGTAGGGAAAGGCAGATGTTTTGAAACGCTCAAGGTACTTCACAATCAGAGGATGGCTCACGGCGACTTGGGACCGCAAACCATCATGGTTAACAGAGATATGGCCAAGTCAATCGACTTTTCGTATGCATACAGCAAGAAATGGGATATCGACAGTGTATACAAAGGCAGCTACAATCGTCCCGCTCCTGCTATCAAAGTCGAAAAGCTAACAGAATATCTGAAGAAACTATTATCAGTAGATAATGCGTGAATTTCTTATATTTGGCACTAGTTGTGTTATTTTACTAGAAATACTCTGCTCGCGATGCGAGCTCGGCTGCTAGTCAGCATGGGTTGACACGTCGATAAGGGCATCACGGCGAACCGATCATTTGAACGTGCCGGATGGTTGTTGGTGCAATGTCGATCATGGACATCTCCTGTCTTGGTGGCCTGCTCAGCGCAGGCGCTTCAGCGCTGGTTCGCTGCTGCTGGCAGCAGAACCGCCCGCTGCTGCACGCCTCTTGCGCGGCCTCTTTGTTGTAGGGGTGGTGCCAGAAGCATCAGCAGCAATGGCCGTAAAGCGACGGAACCGTTCAGGAATACTGCCTGAATCACAGAGTGACTGGAAAATGAGCCTGAAGTTTAGAACTGCTGCGAGGTCGTCTTGTATATAGGTAAAGATAGCCACATAGGCCAGGTGTCAGAGGTACAATAAGCTGCGATCGGTGTGATTGCACATCTCCGTTTGACATCTCAATTGACTCACTGCTAGAACTACTCTCGTTATCGGCTGCTTTGCGGACTGTCATGGCAT